CTGAATTTTATAACAAGGTTCGTATTACTATTAATGTTTTCGCAACATTAAATTGGTGCCGAAACCCGGGAAGGAAAGCAAATACAAGCGACCACAAGAAATTTCTACGCTTAGCTTGTTAACCAATTTTTCCTTCTGCACGCTTGAAGTCGCGTAATATCGCATATTTAAAGAAATGGAGTCCCTTAGCGGCGCAATTGAGGAGCAGCGCCGAACTCAAACCCATCTCACTCGAATCCAGACTAACTTCGAGTCTAAGCAATCGTCTGAGATCTCGAGAGGTTATGTTCAGAGTCTTCTCGCGGAGATTGATACTATCTTCCAGGACTTTAAGCGCGGCCATGAACAAATCTACACTCTTATTCGCAACGCATCGCTTGACGAGGACGACATTCCTTATCTGAAGGAGGAAGTTTTCTATACCTGCTACGATTTATATATCGCCTTTAAGTCTACCTTACTTGATCGACAAAATGACCTCGCGCCATGGCCGTCGCCGCTCGCGCACGCAAGCACCTTCGCTATGGCCACTACACGGAATGACACTACCGCTGCTTCTGCACGACTGCCAAAAATCGACTTGCCTAAGTTTTCTGGAGACTATTTGGAGTGGATCCCTTTTCGCGATATGTTTCTATCGCTGGTACATAATAACGACGCCTTAACACCGGTACAAAAATATTTTTATCTAAAGGGATCTTGCATCGGCACACCTAAAGAAATGGTGGAAGAATTTCCAGCTACGGATGCCAGCTATGAAACTGCCTGGGCTGCCTTGGTAAGTAGGTTTCACAACAAAAGAAAACTAGTGGATCAAATTTTAAAAAGGCTCGTCAATGCACAAAATACCGATGGTGGTTTACAAAGCGTAAAACTGCTGCTCGACCTCACTCGCAACAGCCTTGCTCTACTGAAAACTTTAGAAATAGACACCTCTAGTTGGGATCCCATGCTAATTTTCTTGCTCACTCAAAAGCTTGACAGACAAATTAGAAAAGAATGGGAGCAATCTCTAAATGGTCGCAGTGAAATTCCTCCAGTACAAACTTTCCTTAAGTTTCTCGAAACTACTTATCGAGCGCTTGAATTTATCGAAGAAGAGGACACATCAAAAAAGGTTGTGAACCGCTCGTACAGCGACAAACAAAAACAACACAAACCTGCTCGCAGACAATTACATGCTAATGCAGCTACTACTACCGCCAGTTCAGCATCGTCAAATTATAGCTGTCCCTGTTGTCAAAAACAACATCTCTTGTACAAATGTTTTAAATTTTCTGCACTACCTGCTGCTGAAAAGCAGAGCTTTGTCCTACAACATAGGCTATGCCTAAACTGTTTAGGTAAGGGTCATACATACAGTGAGTGCGAAAGAAATTCCCGCTGCCAGGCCTGTAAGCAGCCGCACCACACTGTTATTCACAATGCATTCGCTCTTCGCAACAATAAAAATGACGAACACAAACTTTCTGCAAATCTCACAACTACTGCTCAAATTATGAATGCAGAAGTGCACTCTGCGACTACTAACGCTCAAGTCTTACTCGCTACTGTACGGGTGATTATTGAAACACCTGAGCGACAATTTCACTTGAAAGCACTCGTTGATCAAGGCGCTCAAGCCTCATTCATAACAGAGGACGCCGCTCAGTTGCTCAACTTGCCAAAACGAAATACCAATGTTATTGTAGCTGGCATTGGTGGAGCAAATGCTTTAATTGCTAAAAGGTCTCTAACTCTATGCTTGCGCTCACAATATGAAAAAGACTTTAAAATGGACTGCACCGCGTTTATTTTGCCGAAATTGACATCATACAAACCATCGCCTTATCACTTGCGCGGTATGCCAAATTTATCCGGCATTTTTCTTGCTGATCCAACCTTTGCTTTGCCCGTCAATATCGACCTAGTTTTAGGCGGAGATGTATATGGCGATATCTTACTCTCTGGCATGAAAAAGTACGAACGTGGCATTTTCCTACAAGAAACTCATTTTGGATGGATGATTTCTGGTCCATCTACTACAACTCCTTCACAACAAATTTTGCATACAAATTTATGTACTCTAGATGATCAGCTTCGTTTATTTTGGGAACAGGAGGAACTGCACGAAGAGCGCCAGCTCTCTTCCGAAGAGACAGCCTGCGAAAACCACTTTTTGCAAACCTACAAGCGGGATAAATGCGGCCGGTATACGGTTCACTTACCTTTTAAAACCCTATTTGCACAGGGTAAGCTCCCAGCATTTAGTGGCACCGACTTTAACGCTGTTAAAAGACTTAAGCAGCTAGAAATGCGATTCAAAAATCAACCTAACTTTGCAAAGCTTTACAAAGATTTTATGGCAGAATATCTAAGCTTAGGTCACATGCAAGAAGTCGGCTTTTATCCAGAAGATCTGCAAGAAAATTCATATTTCTTTTGCCATCATGGTGTCTTACGGCAATGCAGCAGCACCACCAAATTGCGCGTTGTATTCGACGGTGGGAATCGTTGTCCCCCTCAACCTTCTCTCAATGATGAACTTGCTGCAGGGCCGGCATTGCAAAGTGATTTGTCAAGTATTATTTCTCGATGGAGAAGTCACAAAATAGCTTTTACAGCCGATTTAGAAAAAATGTTTAGGCAAATCAACGTTTGTAAGGAACATCAAAATTATCAGTACATTCTCTGGCGAGAGGATTCTACAAAGCGAATTAAAATATATAAACTTTGCACTGTCACTTATGGGACAACTTCTGCTCCGTATTTAGCGATTCGTGTTCTACGCCAACTAGCCACTGATGAGCAAACAAATTATCCTCTCGCAAGCCAAGTGTACTTAAATGATACCTACGTTGACGATATTATATCAGGTGCAGACACGAACGCGGAAGCAATCGAGCTACAACAACAACTCAGCAGGCTGTCATCTAGTGGCGGATTTAATCTTAGAAAGTGGAACTCAAATTCTGCCGTGTTGCTACAAACAATTCCACCTGACAATAAAGAGAACGCCAATTGGATTGAACTTAAGGCAGAGAACCTCGTAAAAGCCCTTGGTCTTTTTTGGGACACGAACGAAGATGAATTCTCTTTCAAAATCAACTTTAGTTTTGCTTCCGCAATAACTAAGAGGAGTATGCTCTCTGATGCGGCCAAATTATTCGACCCACTTGGTTGGCTGGCGCCTACCACAATTATCGCTAAAATCATGTTCCAAAGGTTATGGATGGAGGGACTAGATTGGAATGACCCACTTCCAACTAAATTAAATGCTGAATGGTTGCAGTATCGAGATTCTCTGCATGAACTCGAAAGCATAAAGATTCCAAGGTGGTTTGGATGCAACAAATTTAACAAAATTGAGTTGCATGGTTTCAGTGACGCCTCACAGGCTGCCTATGGGGCAGTTGTATATGCGGTAGTCTATAACAACTCAACTATTTCCGCATCACTTATTCAGTCAAAAACTAAGGTAACACCGCTCAAAACTGTGTCAATTCCGAGACTGGAATTATGTGCGGCGGCGTTACTGGGTAAACTCATGGCGAAAGTGAAAACCTACTTCCACGCGGATGCACCTGTTTTCTATTGGACCGACAGCACAGTGGTTTTGAGTTGGATACGATGCCATTCCACGCGCTGGTCCGTGTACATCGCCAATCGCGTAGCTGAGATTCAGCGCATATCTGATGTAAGTCAGTGGAGGCACGTGCGTACAAGCGAGAATCCAGCGGACTGCTTAACACGCGGTCTGACTCCAAAAGAGCTTAAGGCACATACTTTGTGGTGGCTTGGGCCGACTTGGCTTACTGGGCCAATATCGAACTGGCCACACGAGAACTTAACTTTCGAAACTTGCTTAGAAGAGCGAAAATCATATATCGCTTCTCACGTAACTACGTTAGCTGAAAACTCTATGGAAGACCCCGATTTTATTTGTAAATTCTCTTCGCTCTCTCGGCTTGTGCGCGTCACCGCGTATATTCTACGCTTTTATTATAACTTAAGAGCAGCGCTGCAGCAACACAAAATAGAGAACAATTTATGTGAGACGGGCTTTCTAAAATCACGCGAGATTAAACACGCACTCGCTATAATAATCAAGCAGGTACAGCGCATTGACTTTACCCAAGAGATACACTGTTTGGAAAATAAGCAAGCTCTTAACAAAAAGAGTAAAATTCTTCAATTAGCTCCTTTTCTGGATGGTGATAACTTGCTAAGGGTCGGAGGTAGAATTTCGAAGGCGAAAATTACATTTGACGTCAAACATCCAGTGTTATTATCAAAACAATCGTTTTTATCGTTTCTAATATTCACAGACGCTCATCACCAAACTCTACATGGCGGCGTTCAGCAGATGCTTTCGTTTGTCTCTCAACGTTACTGGATTCTATCAGCGCGCAGCTTAGCAAAATCCGTGCTCCGTAAATGCGTAATCTGTTTCAAATACACAGCGAAGGTGCATCAGCAGCAAATGGGAAATTTACCTGCAGTTCGTCTTCAACCAACTAAACCGTTTCAGCACAGTGGACTCGACTACGCTGGTCCCATAACACTAAAGCTTTCACTACTTCGCAAAGCGGCAACCACAAAGGGCTATATCTGCCTGTTCATTTGCATGTGCACGAAGGCCATACACCTTGAAGTAGTTTCAAGCTTAAATACTGACGCCTTTATCGCCGCATTTCGTCGCTTTATATCAAGGAGGGGTCGATGCAGCGATTTATACTCTGATTGCGGTACTACGTTCGTAGGGGCTAACAAAGAGCTAAAGATTTCCTTTCAGCAGCAAAAGGCTTCGCTCCCCGAACATCTTGCTGCCGCACTTGCAAATGAAGGTACGACATGGCACTTCATTCCGCCCGCTTCACCAAATTTCGGAGGCTTATGGGAAGCGGCGGTTAAGTCGACTAAACATCATCTAAGACGAATAATGCGAGATCGGGTGCTTACTTTTGAAGAACTTAGCACGCTTCTTGCACAAATTGAAAGTTGCTTGAATTCTCGGCCACTCTGCCCATTGTCAGCATATCCCACTGATCATCAAGCGTTGACACCTGCACACTTTCTTGTAGGTGAACCCACAACTTGCGTCTCAGAGGAGAGCCTGCTTGACTCTAATATCGACCACCTGACCCGCTGGAAACTAGTTGAGCGCCTAAAGCAACATTTCTGGCATCGATGGGCTAACGAATACTTCACACTCTACAAACTCGCACCAAGTGGACACAAGTTCAAAAAAATCTTCGCGTCAACGACATCGTTTTGCTGCAACATGAGCGTAGCGCTCCTGGCTATTGGCCGTTGGCGAGAGTGCATGAGATACATCCCGGTGCAGATGGTCTAGTAAGGGTCGTTACGCTTTTCTGTAATGGCAAACTTGTGAAGCGGCCGATTTCTAAAATTTGTTTGCTGCCCATCAATGATAACACTGGCACCACGGCCGATGTTTTGTAACTTAGCCAGCTTGTTTCTCGCTGACATGATGAACCTTAAAAACTTCGTTTTTGCTGCCGGAGAATGTTCAATATTATTGTATAGTATTTACTTTCTTACTAACTTTTGCAG